AGAGACACGGATGGAAAATCACAGCACACATCACAGAGACATAGATGAAAATCACAGAGACACGGATGGAAAATCACAGAGACACGGATGGAAATCAGAGACACAGATGGAAATCAGAGACATAGATGAAAATCACAGAGACACGGATGGAAAATCACAGACACACAGATGGAAATCACAGAGACACAGATGGAAAAATCACAGCACACATCACAGAGACAGATGAAAATCACAGAGACATGGATGGAAAATCACAGCACACGTCACAGAGACTTAGATGGAAAATTGTGGCACACATCACAAAGACACAGATGGAAAATCACGGCACACGTCACTGAGACACATGCAAAATCACATCACACATCACAGACACAGAGGGAAAATCGTGGCACACATCACAGAGACATAGCATAATATTGGCTTTTCCAAATATTCAAAGGGATTCTATATGTGTGATGTTGATGTGACTTTGTTATAAAGATACAGCATTTATTTATATTGTTAATTAAGCTTTGGCATAGTAGAGAAATAGCTGATACAACTATGTTTGTGTTAAATACCTACTTAGATAACATCCAGTGAACACATGAAGAAGACACACAGATATACCAGCTATCAACTCTCCCATCTGAAAACAGTGTAAAAAAACCCTAAAAGTGATAAAAATAGGCTAAAAGCCACAACCAAAGAATCCACATGCTCTAAAAAAGTAAAACCAAACAAAAGCCATGCTGAACAGTTCTTAAAATATGTAAACTAGTTTAAAGAAAAGGTTTACTATGTATGATTGTTTATGAATATGTAACGAACTAATGTAATAAAAAAGTATATAAAAAGTGTTTCCAAAATTATAAGTACTCTTAGCTAAGTACCAAGATATACCCAACCATTATAACCTTTGCTCTGTAGTCCTTGTCCCCTATTGTCCTTTATTAAACATTTTAAATTTCCACAAGAAAGTGAATGTGTTTTTCATAGCACAGCAGCTGCCTCAGGAGAGGTCATGGAATTCCCAAAATATCAATTGGAGTGTAGAAAAGGTTGTGGTTTCCTCAGAGAATCATGGGAAAATAATGTTGGAACAGCACATCAAATTTATTTCAGGCAAATATTTCTGCCTAAGTCCAACTGCAGGGCAGGCAGGAGTGGGTTTGTGTTTATGGGAATCCTTGGGGTGAATCCCTCATTCCTTGTCCTGGGGCTGGTACTTTGGCAAAGCCACTTTGAAACCGAAATATGAGCAACTTCTGTGGTTTAAAGGGCAATGAACAAACGGGAAAACATCACAATAAATTGAATTAATTGCCTTACCCCTTTGGGCAGCATGTAATTTCCCAGAACCATGTCTGTGTCGATGGTGCGGGTGGTAAAAGGCACTGATGGGGTTAATCTGCAGGGAAAGAGAACAATGGGTTAAATTATACAATATTATACAATATTCCTTCTTTTATCTCTATTTCCCCCTCAAACAGCAATATGAACAAAATTCCTATGCTGGAAAATGTTGTCCCTTGTAGAGAGAAGCTGGTAAAACACCTGGTGGTTGCTTTGGGGGTGATTTGGGGATTTTACCTCATGGATTCTTTCAGACAGGCTTTTAGGTAGGGCATATTCCTCAGGCTCTCAGCACTCGGGCTCTCCTGAGCAGCCAAAACTCTCTGGATTTCCTGGAAAAGCTTCTGCTGGACATGTGGATTGCGGGAAAGGTTGTACAGAGCCCAGAGCAAACTGTTGGCTGTCTGGAAAAAGGAAAAAAGAAAAGTGAAGCTCTCCTTTTGGAGGCACAGAAGGAAGAATCTGCACAAAGTTCAAAGCAACCTTTCTGGCTGGGCACAGCTTTATGGAATTTTAACAGCCTGAGGGATTATGAGCAGTCCCAGTTGTCCTGCAGAGTTAAAAATCCAGGGATTTTATGTAAAAATCCATTTGCACTTGGGCCACGGAGGTAACTTCAGGATTAACTCACTTCCAGGTGTGCTGGTGGTCAGGCTGTGGGAGGAACGGGGGAACTGGGATGATTTGAAACCCTTGGAAAATCAGCTTTGCCATCTCCACCTCAGTGATCTGCAGCTAAGGAGGGAATTGGGGAAACCTGAATCCTTGGAAAATCATCTTTACCATCTCCAACCCATGATCTGCAGCTAAGGAGGGAACTGGGGGAATTAAAACCCTAAGGAGGGAATTGGGGAGATTTAAACCATTGGAAAATCAGCTTTGCCATCTCCACCTTGGTGATCTGCAGCTGAGGAGTGAACTGAGGGAATTTGAACCCTTGGAAAATCATCTTTACCGTCTCCACCCCAGCAATGCACAGCTAAGGAGGGAATTGGGGAGATTTAAACCATTGGAAAATCAGCTTTGCCATCTCCACCTCGGTGATCTGCAGCTGAGGAGGGACCTGGGGGGATTTGAACCTTTGGAAAATCATCTTTACCATCTCCACGCCAGCGATCTGCAGCTCAGGAGGAAACTGGGGGAATTTGAACCCCTGGAAAATCATCTTTACCATCTCCAACCCATTATCTGCAGCTAAGGAGGGAACTGGGGGGAACTGAAACCCTAAGGAGGAAATTGGGATAATTTGAACCCCTGGAAAATCATCTTTACCATCTCCAACCCATTATCTGGAGCTAAGGAGGGAACTGGGGGGAATTTAAACCCTAAGGAGGGAACTGGGGGAATCTGAACCCCTGGAAAATAATCTTTATCGTCTCCACCCCAGCCATGCACAGCTAAGGAGGGAATTGGGGGGATCTGAACCCCTGGAAAATCATCTTTACCGTCTCCACACTGGCGATCTGCAGCTAAGGAGGGAACTGGGGGGAACTGAAACCCTAAGGAGGGAACTGGGGTAATTTGAACCCCTGGAAAATCATCTTTACCGTCTTCACACTGGTGATCTGCAGCTAAGGAGGGAACTGGGGGGAATTTAAACCCTATGGAGGGAACTAGGGTAATTTGAACCCCTGGAAAATCAGCTTTATCGTCTCCACCCCAGCCATGCACAGCTAAGGAGGGAATTGGGGGAATCTGAACCCCTGGAAATCCAGCTTTACCGTCTCGACGCCGGCGATCTGCAGCTCGGCGATGGCAGCGTAGAGCTCCTTCCTGGACAGGTGTCCCCCAGAGTAGATGTCACACAGAAAATCCCCCTGCGGGTTGGCCGAGTGCCTCTGCAGCCGGCTGTCGATGGAGTGCTTGGCTGAGGAGGGCAGGATGGATGGAGAACAGCTCAAAACCCCCAGAAACACCAGCACACCCACCTTGCCCACGCAGGGTTTGAAAGAAGTGCCAAGCTGGGCTCTGTTTTCAAGCAGTGGGTAAATAATGGGTGTGTTTATGGCGAATAAAGAACGGTGTTTTTGCTTTTCTAACAAGAAACTCAGCCCCAAAAGTCCTACTCTCCTAGGAATCCTACTCTCTTAAATTTGGGGAGGAAATCAGTGACACGTTGAGGGAAATATTCAGCCAACAGAAACAGCAGTGTGTAAAATTTAATACCTGGGGTTTTCAAAGGGGAGCAAGGTGTTAAAAAATCAAAGGGATTTAGCACCCAGAACCCCTGAGGGGAAATGTAAACAATTGATTTACCAGGGGAAGCACACAGAGATGCCAAATTTTGACATGCTGGGTTGTTTTGGTTTTTTTTTTAAGTAAAAAGAAACAGGTTTTGCTCATGAGTATCCCAGCTGTTAAAACCAGTTATTCATTTTAAGTGAAGGTGTCAAACTGGTTTTTCTGAGCAAAACTGGTTTAAAGTGTCTTTCCTAAAGCCCATAAACTAAGAAGCAATAAAATAAGTGAGTGTGTGGCTGGCAGGATAAAAAGCCTTGGGACTCAAACACCCAAGGGAAATATCTCAGTGTTACAACCTTCCAAAAGCTTTCTCAACCTTTAGTTATGCCTCTCACTGTTTAAATCAAGGAACTTTAAAAATATTAAACGTACAAATTTAACTTCACGTCTGGAGTTTGAGTAATTTTTAAACTTGGAAAGCCAACTCATTTTAAATAGTCAAAAAAATGTTGCAAAAAGCCAAACTGCACCTTATTATTTAAATTACTTCTGGGTTTAAGATTTACAACTATGTTACAGGTTGTTCAATAAAGGTATTATTTCTTTTCTTTTTCTTTTTAGCAAACAGGTTTTTGCTGCATGCACAGTTTCTCAAAACTTCTTTGAGGGAAGCCCCTTTTCATTTATACCCTTGCCTTTAAAGAGATTATACATTTTTAATTTCCTTTTAGGACAGATTAAAGCGGTGCCATGACCCTGCTGGCTCCCAGAACCCTGGGATTTCCTTGGGAATTGGATATTGCCCCACAACCTGGCTGTTAGTCACTAAAAACTGCTCCCACGTGGGAATAAAACCATGTTTAGGTACAGCAAATGTGTTTTAATCCATGCTGAAGGTGGGGATTAACAGCAGCAAGTATAAAAAAATCAATTCCAGCAAGGAGAAGACAGAGATAAAGGAAAAGGAGATATATTAGGGTTAAATAATGACCTGTTTTAAATATATCATCCCATGCTTTGGTGTGAGCTTGCCAGACTTTGGTGTTGAGCCCCTTGTGCAGCTCCACAGGGGTCACCATCATCATCCCGAAAGTGGCCATCATCTGTGGGGGAAAAAAAACTCTCTTTAATCTCTTTGAATCCACCTCCTTGCCATCCCTGAACAATACCAAGGCTGGGAAGTGGAGGGAAATTTTCAGGAAGGCAAAATTCTGGTGGATTTTCCATCCTGGAGAGAGAGAGGATGGGTCTCAGTCTATTTAGGGCATATCCAGGTAAAAACCAGGGGCAGCCAGGAGCTGCCTCAGCAGGGAGTGCATCCGACTGATTTTAGGACAAGGGATTTTTTGGCAGTGCCTCTCCCTCCTTTGATGGGCTAAAAACCGAGGCAGGGCTGGCTGCCTGGGGTTGGTGACTGAAATTTGGCCCCCAGAGCCCAAAGGCACGGCAGCTCTGACCCCAAATCCCAGGGAAGTGCACGACCCCAGGGCCAGGCACAGCCCCAGCCAGGCTGACAATTCCCCTGCCCCGATGGCCACCCAGCATTTTCCCTGCCACACTGATGGTGCAGGCAGGTGAGAGGTGTTCTAAAAATGAACTTATAAAACATGGATTGGCTTGGCTACTTCAGATTGCAAGTTCCCGTGTGAGAACAGCTTGAGAGAGTTCATTAACACAACAATTAACTATTCTTGGGGAGAAAAACAAGTGTTTTATCCCTGTAATAACCAGGGATCTGCCTCATGAGAATCAGTGGAGAAAACAATTCAAGAAGAGAGAGACTTGATGGACAAGTAAAATACCTTTTACTAAGCAATAGAGTAATTAGCAAGAAGCTATTAGCCAATTAAAGTTGCGCACGAGGTGTGTAAAAACTGTATAAAAATGTGAATAAAAAGGGGCTTTTCCTGCATGGAGAAACTGAGTCCTGACTGCTTTATTACAACAGAGTGAGGCATTGCATAAAGGAGGCAGAAGTTCAGGATTAGCTGGGCACCTTTAGGGTACAGAAGCCTGAGCTAATTTTCCAGCTGACTCCTTTAAATTGCTGCCTCTCATTAACAGCAGGGGGAAAAGTCACCACAGCCCCAGGAGAGACCCTTCCCTACCGTTTTCACAGCCTTGATGAAGTTCAGACTTTCTTCTTCTACATCCTGCTGCAGGAGGCCAAACCTCTTTCCATACAGCACCAGACAGATACCTGTTGTGAGGCAATATTATAATTAAATTTATAAACAAAAGGGCGTGTGGGATGCATCATTTATCGTCAAGGAATGGCTTGGGTGAGCCTTCTGAAAGTGTTCCTTGATGCAGAGCTGGCAGAGCATCACCTGTAAAACACCTCCTACTTGTTTGCCTCGGTCCCAGCCAGGGTTTCCAGCTCTGGGGCCCTGGCAGCAACATTTCTGCACCCATCAGGAGTGGCCCTGAGCCCCTCACGAGCAGCAGAATTGCACATTTGGCTCATATTTGGTGACTTCACTGAGGAAAATTGAGTGGCAGGAGAGCAGGGCTTGAGGAGCCACCTCCCACAGCTTTCCCCCCTCCTTCCCACAGCCACAAACCACTGGCAGCATCCCCCTCTCTGCCTTTTCCACTTGTCTTTTTTTCCCCCCTTTCTGTTCAAACTGTCATTTCCTATTTGTCCCATCACCACTGACAGTGGAAAAAAACCCAAAAACCACTTTGAGGAGCTCAGCCCAGAGGCTGCTGAGAGGAGCCAGCCAAGGGCAGTCGGGTCTGGCAGGGCTGGTTCAGCCACTACGCCCTTTTTTTGGGAATCACTGAGCCACTTTCTGCCCTGTGCCATTCCTGGCACATTCCTCAGCGTGCTCTGAGAGGTTTCTAAAGATGAGGCTCTGTCTTGGTAACCCATTCCAGCCCTTCTCAATCCCAGTGTAAACATTGGAAATAGGATTTTCCAATCTTTGCCTACAGCCAACACTCTGTTATTGGAATATCTATTGATCCTGCCGATAATTAACAAATATCAGATGGACAAAAAAGGCTGTGTGTTATCTGATCCCACTCTAGATAAATGAACCATAACCCTCCCCACCAATTTTTTGCTTTAAAAATCATTGGAATATTTCAATTTTAATAAGCCATGCAGGTAGCTAGGCAGAAATTTATATCTGTGCTGGTGAATTTTGCACTGACAGTCCCTGGCTGTTCTGCAACTCTCTTTCCATGATATTACAGCTGAGAGTTTGGAAATAATCAGCCAACACATTCATCCCTGATGATATTTTAACTGCAATGCCCGGGCAGGTGCACCACACTCAGGCAAAACCCAACTCACTTTCAAAAGACCATTTGTTGAATTCTGAATAAACATCTTCCATCTGTCCATTGTGGTCACAAATTTCATCTATCCTGTACATAAAGTCCTCCAGGACCTAAATGGTGGAGAGAAGAGAGAGAAAAAAAGGGGGATAAAATTACATCAACTAATAAAAATCCGGTGTAATTCAGCATTTCAACTGCTTTTTAAGCAGATAACAATCTTGCACGAGAAGAATCCTTTTGTTCCCCGTTCTTTGAGCAAGATTCAACTTCCCCCTGTGTGAACAAATGTTTGGATTTGCCACAGCTCTGTGCTTCGATGAACTGTGCTTCCCTCGCAGGGATGCAATCCTTCACCCCTGGGGTTTCACAACTGAGGATTAAGGTGTTTATCACAGATGCTCCTCAGCCTCCCGCAGGAGCACAGAGGTTAAGGACAGACGTGTTCCCTGAGGGGAGGAGCAGAGGAATGAAGGGGTAAAGGCAAAAAAATAATGAATGCAGGAAAAAGCTCTTCGCAGGAGCCTCTATCCTTGTGAAATAATTCTATTTTTTTGTGGGGACCCTCTCGGCTCCAGGTTTCTCTGCGGTCTCAGAGCCCGGCAATCAGTTTGCACTCGTTATTCCCCGAATGTTCCGAGTGAACTGGTGGTTTATCACTGCGGAGTAAATAAAGCTGCCCAGATAAACCGGATCTGCTTTAACTCCCCGGGCAGGGAGAAAGGATTTCCCCAGAGCACGGTACCTCGTTGACGGCCGTGTCCAGTTTCACAACTTCCCGGGGCTTCATTAATTTCTTCTGAAAGGCACTTCTTACCCTCTGCCAGTCCTTCCCCTCCCTGATGAAACAGCGACAGCGAGGTTGGAGAGCGAGAAGCGCCCAGAGGAAGGAAAGCAGACAAACCCCACACCCGCAGTGATGCTCCATCGCACCGAGGGCGCGGCCGGGGATGCTCGGGCGGGGACGAGCCCGGCACCCCCGGACCCTGGAGCCGGGCAGGGGGCGGCCGCGGTCCGCAGCATCCCCCGGGACGCTGCGGGTACCACTCACAGGATGAGCAGCCCGTAGGCCTCGTCGCGATAGTCGCGATAGGCTTTCCAGGGCTTGATCTCCAGGCGCTGCGGGCAGGCGCTCTCGCGGCGGCACAGAGCCTCCAGCAGGCAGGGCGCCGCGATGTGCACCGAGTCGAAGGCGCCCAGCTTCATGCGGAAAATCTTCCCGAACCTGCGGTGGTACTGAGCCTGGGGAGCAGCGAAACGCCCGCCGTGAGTGCGGGGCGGCGCGGCATCCTCATCCCATCATCATCATCCTCATCATCCCATCCCATCCTCCTCCTCATCCTCATCCTCATCATCCTCCTCGTCCCATCCCATCCCATCCCCGCCGCCTCACCAGGGTCTCGTGCTGCCTCTTGAGCCCCCCTTTCCAGAGCACGTCGGGCAGGCTGCCCATCAGCGGCCAGCTGGGCGGCCCGGGCAGCGTCTCGGCCGGCCGCAGCGCGCTCAGCGAGGACGCGGCGCGGCCGCAGGTGCGGCCGGGGAGCCGGCGGACGAGGAGGAGGAGGATGCTGCAGCCGCCCATGGCCGCGGTGCCGGCCCCCGGCCGCGCATAGGTGCATTTATAGCAGCCCGAGGTGCTGGACTTTCATCCGCGCCAATGGCAGCCCTGGGTGGGGTGAGGTGGGGCGGCTGCCCCGGCCCTGCCCGCCGAGCCCGCGGGGCAGGCGGGTCATGAAAGGGCTCGGGAGAGGCAGGGAAGGCACCGCGCCAGCGCCTCCGCCCGCGGGGAACGCGGGGATGCGCGGGTGGGACCCGCTGGGATGCGGGGATCGGACCCGCTGGGATCCGGGGATGCGCGGGTGGGACCCGCCGGGATCCGGGGATCCGGGGATCGGACCCGCTGGGATCCGGGATGCGGGGATCGGACCCGCTGGGACCCGGGGATGCGCGGGTGGGACCCGCCGGGATCCGGGGATCGGACCCGCTGGGATCCGGGGATCCACGGGTGGGACCCGCCGGGATCCGGGAATCCAGGGATCGGACCCGCCGGGATCCGGGATGCGGGGATCGGACCCACTGGGACCCGGGGATGCGCGGGTGGGACCCGCCGGAATGCGGGATGCGGGGATCGGACCCGCCGGGATCCGGGATGCGGGGATCGGACCCGCTGGGATCCGGGATGCGGGGATCGGTCCCCGGGAGGAGGGAACACAGCAGTGGCCACGCCGCAGGCAGCGGCTCCGCTCCTTGCCTGGTGTTCGTGCGAGCGGACTCGTAGCTCTCTTTCGCTCTCTCTATTTTATTTATTTATTTATTTAAATTAGTGGTTTTGTCCGAGCACCCGCATGAGCGAGGAGCGCTGTGGTGGTGGTGTTCATCCTGCAGAGCGCAGGTGGCAGAGTAATTCCGTTTTCCCGCAGCATTTATTTGCCCTTTAAAAAGACGGAATAAGAAAGCGCAGGGAGCTGAGGAACAAGAAGTTGTAGGGTGTGAACTGCCTTTGCCCTCTCTGGTTGAGTAACATGAAAAGATCATGTGTGCATCATCGGGGAAGGCAAAATTCCCATCAATGTGAGTGCTGTTAGCCATTAAATCCTGACAAAAACGAGTGAA